AATCTCAGAAACTCTGGGATACCTATAATCTTCCTACTTCTCCTGCTGGGTCTTCTTCTGTTATGTGTCTCTAGATAATATGTCATACATAAATCACACACACAAATCATACTTGAGCTTTTCTGAACAAAGGTCAACAGAGTTTACTATTTACAGCAAAATACCAGCAGATGGATTGCATCAGTAATCAGAGCTGCTTGTGTCACAGGGAGATTCTGGTAAGATGCATGTACAGTCTGAAGTTCCACTGGTCACAGCCTGAGGTCAGTGGTGTCTGTTTTCCCTGTGCTGCGTTGATGAGCATCATGTACATCACATATAAAAGCTCAGCTTTATAAGGATTATGTTATTATAAGGAGTTACGTCAGGCCTCCAGACGTCTCCAGACTGCAGCTGCTCTGAAGTGTTGTCTGTTTTACAGCAGAGTGGAGACAAGGACAAACACTGCACTGTGCACCACACCCTCTGCTCCAAACGCCCTGTCCATGTTTTCATGTGCAAGCTGGAATAATAACACAAGTGATTGTGAAAGAACTAATGACAGAGGGCTGCTGCCATCTGGTGGGCAGCGACCCCATATCTATCTATCTGTCAATCTTAGATAGATAGATTCTTCATTGATCCGCCATAGGAGAAATTCAGGTGTCCAGCAGCAGAATTTGACTCCAGGTTTGTTGTACGTCTGACAGCCAAAGGAACAAAGGATCTCTTGAAATGTTCCGTTTGGCAGTGCAGTGTCAGGAGCCTGTTGCTTTGATTACTCCTCTGAGCAGCCATAGTGTCATGCAGAGTCCACACTTCTCCCCATTACAGAGACACATTTTCTAATCAGCCTGTTGAGTCGGTTACTGTCTCGAGGTCAGACTGCTGCTCCAACACGCAACCCCAAAGATAGATGGATAGATATGGTTTGGTTTAGTTTATTGATTGGATCCCTGTTAGCTCAGATTAAAAGTCCTCTTCTTGGGCTCCTATATTAGAATCAAATTAGTGCGAAGCATTTACATTAATCTCAAATAGTCAACAATTCAAAAAGTCGATTTCAAATATTCAATTTGTAGGTAGCAAGTTACAAATTGTTCACTGTGTGGACACCAGCAGATGGCAGCCACACTCTGCTCTGTCTCCTCTGTTAAGACTTTCAGAAAAGAGTAAGATTGGAAGCATACTGTGTAATGGTTTGACCAGAGTATTTATGAAGTAAAGTAATACATACAATTTAAGAATAATAAACAACAGTTGATCACTTAAACAAAAATACCAATAAATGATTATAATAAATGATAAGTTAAATAAAATATATATATTGTTCAGTGATCAAATGTGGCCTTTTTAAAATGAATACATTTAGTAGCCATGTCTTTCTCAACCAAAATATGAAGAACATAAACACTTTACGTTGATGGTAGAGTTTCATTCATGAAAGCTGATCCTAGAGACCCACAGTGACCTGTGAGAGCAGTCACATCTCAGTGATTGTTCTGGATTATTTATCTACGGTGCGTTCACACTTATTACACAGTTATTAGATGCAAAGCTAATTATGTCATTATGTTTATGTCATTATTCATTTGACAATTTCTCATATCTATGGGTTTGATAATTATACCTGACAATTCAAGTAATTGGAGAACAGGAAAATGATCCTCAAATAGTTTGTCTTCATGTTGTAGAAATCTAGTCATCATAATCTAGTAAACCAGCCAATAACTAAGGGGACAGAAGCAATTTTTGAAAGCTATATTGAAATAGAAAATGTCCAAATGTTTTTCCAAATAATTTTTTCGTAGTGGTGAAATAAAAAAAGCGGTTCCACTGGCCAGCATCACATATTTTGGATACATTTTTGAATATTTTCAACACTTCTAGACACGTGTATGACAATAATTAAACCATATGTACTGACAAGGAAGATGTGGAACTTTGTGAGGGTTTGTTTTGTGTGGGTTGGCCCAGGACCCAGAGGAATTAGCTTTAGAATAATAGACTTAAGAAATTTGACTTTGTCTTATCTTATCTTCAAGTGAAAAAAATAAAATAAATTTCCCCTGAAATCCATAAACAGTCATTCTGAAATGAAAAAAAAAAAACTGAAAAGATCAGGTCTTGAAACAAAAAAGTTTGAAATCAGTTTTATTACCATTAAAGTCAATAACGTAGTCAACAGCTGACAGACGCTGGACGACGAGCATTGGAAAGGTAAATCTATACAGCGCTGTTGGAATGGAGAAGCTTTCTGACGTCTATCAAAGTCAATGCTCTACTGTACATGAGCCGCAGGATATGGACACATCCTACAAAAGAAACACTTACGACAACAGAGCGGACATGAGTGGCCTCTAAGTGCATGTGCTATTGTTACAAATGACATTTGTGCACAGTGAGTGGATATTATTTATTATTTGTGTCCAACTGCAGTGTAGCATCTTACAGTAGTGCTGTTGGTGTCAGACAGTGACGTGGGCTCAGCTTTGACATGTGCTGAGGGCTTCTCACGGATACAGACGACCACACGGATCACAGTTACTCCAGCCTGTCACTATTGCTGAATTTATAAAACCTCCAACTACGAGCAGAGGTGGCAAATGTACTAGTCTTAGACAAAGTCAAAGTTAAATAAAGGAAAATGCATAATTAAATCTGGGGTACCTATAACTACACAATTACACCATAACAAAATCGTTTCCTTGTATCTCTTCAGGTGTTTTCACATCATGTGTGTTTGGCTTCTGTCAGAGGGAAACGTGAAAAATAGAGGACATCTGCCGAAAGTGTCAAGCAGTAGTCTGGCCTTACCATTCGTAAACTCCGGTCAATTATAATTTACTTATGAAATGAATGGGTTGGTAAGACCAGGCAGAGAGTGCCTCATAGAGCTCTTTCTTAAACGTATCCCAAAGAAAACATTTTTTCTAAAAGGAAATGAGGCGTTGATGATGTTGTGGTCTGATTTGTTAACAACATTTCACTTTTACAAGACTCTTTCTGTTGGGACAAAACAGAAAATACATGTACCCCAGCTTTAAGTAAGAGTTATACTAAAGGATTATATATATTAAGTAAAAAATATTTGTTGTAGTATATTTGATAGACGATATTTGAGACATTTTAAACATTGTATTTATAAATATATCTATCTATGTGTTATCGCCAAAAATATCATTTTCATCTGTGTCGCTAGTTGCAAAGTAATTTTGAAATGTTGAAAGTACATTTTAAAGTACGGATATTTTAAAAAGCATGTACACATAGTACTGATACCTGGAGAGAATACACACGTGTAGTGCTTGAGTAAAAATACTTAGTTACTTGCCACCTCTGACAGTTTATATGGTCGTGAACTGTCATTCATAATTACAACATAATTCTCATTATATTCAATCATAAAAAGAAGGTACACTTGCTTGCGCCAAGAAATTGTATGTAAGTAATTAGGGTAAAAGAAAAGTGAAAACCCTTCTGCCTTTAAAGAAGAAATATTATGCATCATTTTTTTGTCATTTAAACTAAAAATGAGATTATTCACTTGTGATGTCATGTTTTGGAATATGAAATGATATATTCAGAGTTGAGCAGCAGTAAACAGAGCCATCCAATTGTAAAGATCGATTGTAATGCTATTTCACTTGGGAATTTGCCAAAACTAACACTTTGTGTTTACAATGAATAAGACAGAAGGGGTGTAGAACACGTTTGTCCCAGAAGTTCCCAATATCAGCGTGAATGGATCTAAAAACAACTTCATGTCTGTTTTTGATTAAAGAACTATGTTGCAACAAAAAAAACCATAAATTAGATTTTCATAATATGTCTCCTTTAACGGAAGCTATGGCTTATGGTGAGAGTGAGGAAGAGAATACGGCCACAAAAGCTGTTTCAGATGCAGCACTGGGCGGAATCGTATGTACAATAGAGATTTTAATTGATCTAAAATAATCTTTTACAATAGTTTTGTTTTTTCGTGAAAATGCAAGTTTCAAATGCAAAACATAAAAAAGCTATAACGTTCAAAATAAATGGATCCATTTATCATAACAACAATATATATGTTACCAAACTCACCAAGAGTTTAAACAAAAAGACCAGTGTGTGGTTTTGTTTCTGTAACCCTCCTCTAGATGGCGCTCTTCCTCCTTCCAAAGAATGAAGAAAAATAATGTTCCAAAATCAAAGGCCATGGGAGTAGACTGACAGAGCTGACGCCAAAGAGAGCGAAGCAAACAGGGAAAACGTGGGTAACAACGATCTACTGTAACAACCAAAGAGCCAATCAGGGGCGGCGCTGGTCTGTTCTTGCGTTATTCACGAGCTGAAACCAAATTCAGGAATTAAAGGCACCTGTCAGATTTTAGGAGAAATATCCAATTTACAAAGATATAATCGAAACATTAACATTACAGAATGTTGAACCACAGACTTTTTTTCCCCAAAATTGATGAGTGTAAAACAGCGGTTAAAGAGCAAGTGAAATAAAGTGAAAGTGAGCCAAAGTGAGTTGGGTAAACCAAGAACCTTCTGAAGAAGGACACAGAAGGTCCAATGTACGGGACGAACACCACACTGGTCTGTTAAAAGTCACATGATTCCTCGTTACAGTGAATTATACTTTCATAAATTTCTTTGTGTGGGAAAGAATCCACAGAGGTTGGCCTTGTTACTGTAAATGTAATTGAGCCAATAGGCGTATCTTAATGTTTAATGCTTAATTAGCTTGCATAAAGTCTAACTTTCATATTTTGTGGTAAACACAAGACAGGGTCTACAAATTAAACTGCATATTGCTGCAAACTGACATGAACAGAATGAAAGCAGCTTCTAGAACTCTATAAGCACTGGGACCATTAGCACCCAGTCCCAGTTTAAATGTGGAACACACAGCACAGGGTCGGGTCAGTGCAGAGACAGATGGGGGAGGAGCCACAGCGCCCCCATGAGGTGATGAGGAGAAGCAGAGTCTGTGTGTCCATGCCAGCAGATACTGTACAGTGGGAGTAGCGGCTCTAGCCCTGCTCGCCCTCGCTCTGAGCGCCTGTGTCGCCATTACAGCGAGGCTCTGCTGGGACGTCCTGCAGAGGAGGCTGGGGCTGTGAGAGGCTGGCCTCCACAGTGGGTCCTTCTGTGGAGCTGGGCAGAGCTGCAGGGCTGTCCGCACAGGCCTGGGGGTCTGCGGGCGGCTCCACTGAGGCCCCCGCTGCAGGGAGGGCCTTAGACTCGCTGTCAGGGGTTCTCAGCCGCTTCATGATGGTGGTGACCCGCACAGCTTTCTGAGGACCACACAAGTATACAGGGTGACATATATAACTATGACGTCACATGAACATATTCACTTTATTTATATGGCACACTCCATAAACCAACATTGCTCCACAGGAAAGATAAACACCTTAGTAATAAAAATTAAATCGTCATCATCCGAATCTGCCAGCTATGAGTCAAATCCAATAAAATCTACTAAAATCACAATAGTACGAATAGAACATAAAAACAGGAAAATTAACAAAAATTAAAAAAACAATAAAATAGTAGAATATTTAACAAAATAGATAAATAATATACAGAGCACCACACAACTCCTGTTGAGCTCATGTGGAAAGCCACCTTCTTTACATATTACGCTTTTTGACTTGTCTATGCTTTAAACATCATTACACATAATACTTTTCATGAATTCCCTCAAGCTTTAGTTAGAGAGCAATCTTTTACTTTCATTCTAAAGAGGCCGCAAAACGCTTTGGTTCAGTTTGTGACGTGGCTCTGAGCTGCAAAAGCCCACCTCCAAAGTCATGTCCCAGAGTGGGAGGGGGCCTTACTATAAACAGTCTATGGAGGGGGCTGGTCTAGGCTACATCACCGCGGCTGGAGGCTCACAGGCAGAGGAGCAGAGATCCTCCAGTTTTGGAGTTTTATATGAGTATATGATGTATTATCCAAATCATTCTCACACATGTGATTGGGTTGGACTTTGAAACATGAAGAAGAGCTACATACGAGACATTTAAATCATATGAAGGAAACTTTGATTGTTATTTATTAGATTGTTTACCTTCCACTTCGCTCGAGCAAAGTTCTTCTCTATTTGCGCGCACACATGCTCCTTGATGTTCTTATCTGAGGCCGCTCCACCGGAGATCCTGAGGAAGACACAACATGGGGCCAGTTCAGAATAGTCTCTGCTGACCTCTCTGAGCAGGTCCAGGCAGAAACATTAGGGTCACTGATGATTCCACAGACAGAATATCCTGCTCATATTTTGTCTGGGATCCGCCATCATTTATATGCAAAAATGTCGTCTCACTGTTGTGTGTCTAAAGCTGTTTGGGGCACCTTATTTTCAAAACACAACTAAATGTAACTATGTAATAAAATCCATCTTACTAGTCCCTATGTCTCAGAACAGGAATAAACAGCTTTGTCTATGTCTGTGGATCAGTCATGACAGACAAGCTTTACACAGGGAGGACATGTTTGTGAGAGAACGAAGCTGTAACATGGATGAAAGCTCCAAAAAGACGACGTAACTGAAAAAAAAGCCACTTCCTACCACTCATGGTTAATGGCCTCCTGCGCAGTCAGCCTCTGGTCCTGGTCCACCTCCATGAGACGGGTCACTAAACTTTTGGCTGCGAACAAAGAGCAGTGGAAAGTTATTTTTCAGATAGAGCTATGGCTAACAATAATACTAATGTATAAAACGTACCTGAATCTGAAATTTCATCCCAGTAAGGCGAATCAAACTCGTAGTCTCCAGCTAAGATCTTTCTGAAGAGGTTTTTGTCATGGTTTTCATAGTCATCGTCTTCAGCCTCGTCGTAGAAAGGAGGATTGCCTGATAGTCTGGTGAGAACATGGGGAGGGAAGCAGGGAATAATTAAAAGATCGATTGTAGTGCAGCCCAAAATATTGAAGATCCAATCAGTCAAAACCTTCTTTATCTATGATCTAGGTTCAATTCAAGTACAACTATTATTTTCTGGTAAACACTTTTTTAAGAAGAAAACTATCCAAACCCTTATTTTAGAGGACAATAACCTAAAAAATGACTTTTCTGAGGTTTTGGTCATGTTATAGATGTTTCCCCTTGACATTTACACGCTCAAAGCTGATATTTATTTCCTAATGCTCACGTGCCACCGTTGCTCTCCTTTCAGTCCTTCAAAGGGAACAAAATCTGGTTTTGTTCCCTTTGAATAAATGCAATCATGTTGAAATGTAAAATAGTAATTACCCAAAACAAACCCAGATGTGACATATGAGCTATAAACTTTCTACACAAGCAATGCTATTGTAAAAGTGCTTTGTGACTCTGGTCTGCGTGAAAGGCGCTATATACATAAAGATTACTTACTTACTTACTTACACATCCAGGCAGAACTGCTTTTGGGCCATATTTTGGACATTTTGACATTGACATTGCACTTTTTTCACTCATTGTTAACAGTTTCAATTTGTGTTAATTAAATGTGGGTTCTATTTTCAAATGATAACGACAACAGAAACTCCTCTTCTGACCCTGATTAGAAAACCCCACCCCCTGTTCTCAGAAGTGTGTATTTGCCCTTTAGCATCTATGACAACTTAGAGTCTAGTGTGGTATTGTGGATGAGGTCCTATCCTGTCTGATGGCAAATAGCCTCCAGTTCCTGTAAATTCCTGGGCTGCTTTGCTTAAGCCTGGTTCACACGAGACGATTTTAAAATTGTCGGCCGATTTTTCTCCGTGTTAGACCCCACACGGGGAGATTAAAAATCCTGCGTCTAACCACTTTGGTCGTGCAGTATGTGGTGCGTAGCCACACGGCAAGATCACGCAAGCCACAAACATCACACACGAACCGACACCCCCCCCCGAGCATTCCCAGGTCAGACGGAAATCTCACAAAATCTCTCGAGATCAAGCGTGACTTCAGAGTAAACAGTCATGGCGGACGAAGAGGATGCAGTGGCGATAGTGTGCAGTTTGTTGTTAACAGAGAAGACACGTAATCCAAAGAAAAGGCAATGGTCAAAGCCATGCTGCTGTGTTTTGGTTTTTTTCCGGTGTTTCCTCACCGGCTTGTCACCTCGTCGTCTTATTGGCTACACGCCGTAGTCATGGCAACGCGCTCGCTTGTCCTCGGAGGACACCACACACGACCAGAAATCGGGCCAAAACAATCCAACATGTTGGATATCCCCGATTTGAGATCGGGAGCAGTCCCGATGTCCTTCCGAGCGACAAGTGCAGTCTTAACACACCACACACGGCAGGATAATCTGTAAGATTTTGTTACGGAAATCGGAGCGTTTCTTAAGATTGTCGTGAGGGGTAAATCGGGTCTAAATCGGCCTAAATATCCTGCCGTGTGAACCAGGCTTTAAACTGCACATTTGAGATCTCTGAGGAGCAGCTCAATCATGTAATAATTTTAAAATAGAATGCAGATAGAATCCAATCGATGGCTAGAATGGAAGAAAAAGTGGTTTTGACTTTGTGACACATTTTTGTTTTCTTGTATTTTCATGTTTCCAGTTCCGTTGCCTGCTCAGAACCTGCCACTGGACCAAGCCTTGCCCTACAGTTTCTTCAGCCAAGTCTGCTGCACCCTTTGATCAATAAATATTTTGATTGCCCTTTTTGGTGTCTGCTTCGAGGTGCACACATTTACCTGAACACACACTGAAGGATTTTATCTTTACTCTTTTTAACGTACTCAGGCTATTCATAATTTTAATCCCATGTGTGATTTTAATGTTAAGGTTTTTAATATGTCTTGAGATCTTAATGTTTGTTTTGAAATACTTGTGATTTTATTTGTATTTCGCAATGTGTGTGTATATTTTTATGTTTAAGATTTATGCCTGATGTGATATGGATTGTGAGGCGCTTTGTGTTGCCTTGTGAAGGAAAGGCGCTCTACATATAAAAGTTGATTGATTGATAATCTCCAGCACAACTAAATGTGACCCAGTGATACTCAGTCATCAAAATCCTCCATGTATGTATAATTTATATTAATAAAACTTACAGTATGTACATGATGACACCAGTGGCCCAGCAGTCCACCGGGCGGCCGTAGCGCTGTCTGCCCACCACCTCAGGAGCTGGACACATGATCATAGTGATACCAGTGACGTTAGTGCATGTGTCGTTGGGTTTGTTTACATTAAAGACGCATATAGTGCTGTGTGTGTGTGTGTGTGTGTGTGTGTGTTACCCAGGTATTCTGGTGTTCCACAGGGCTCCTTGATAAGGCCGTTCTCTAGTTTGGCCAGGTGGAAGTCGCTGATCACAATTTTCGAGTGTTTCAGCCGGTTAAAGTACACCAAGTTTTCCAACTACAGAAGAACAAAAACATAATATGTACAGTATTAATTATGAACACAGAAAATTAGAACATATTTGTAATCCGGGTTACTTATTTTTTTTTCTCCCCATCAATAATACGTTTTGGTTGTTACATTTCCAATACTCTTTCTGCTGGAACATTTAGTCCACAAATAAAATCAAAACATTTGTGTGTATGGCCTCATAGACGGGCACATGCACGTGTGTGTATGGCCTCATAGACGGGCACATGCACATGTGTGTGTATGGCCTCATAGACGGGCACATGCACATGTGTGTGTATGGCCTCATAGACGGGCACATGCACATGTGTGTGTACAGTATGGCCTCATAGACAGGCACATGCACATGTGTGTGTACAGTATGGTCTCATAGACAGGCACATGCACATGTGTGTGTATGGCCTCATAGACAGGCACATGCACATGTGTGTGTATGGCCTCATAGACAGGCACATGCACATGTGTGTGTATGGCCTCATAGACGGGCACATGCACATGTGTGTGTATGGCCTCATAGACGGGCACATGCACATGTGTGTGTATGGCCTGGGTATGGGTCAATGTTTAAAATGAATTACACTTAATACATTTCAAATGTCAAGACTGTAAATGACTTTATTGTAAATATGTGCAATTGTGATTGGAACTACTCCTTTTGAGTACTGTTTTTTGAGTACTATCATAGTGTCTATCATATATTGTATGGGGCAAAGGGGTGTATGGTTGGAGTGTTTGGGGCCTGTGTCGTGTTTCTGTTTATTGTTGTAGTGTGTGTATTTGGTGTAGTGTAGTGTGAGTGGGGGGTGGAATCGAATAAGCGTAAGCTTCCTCCATCCCCTTTTCAAGTTACATGATTGTGAATTGTAATAGACTGTGTATGTTATTTTTTCCCTACTTGAAATAAATAAATAAATAAACAAACAAACAAACAAAAAGGGCTGACTTTATCTTGTTTGACTTTTTTTCTGCCTAATTGTAAGAAAAAGTGTAATGTTCCTGGACCCGTATGTGGCTGGTGATAAAAAGAAGATAAAACAAATACAATATTGTACTTGATGAATGGTTTATGTGGATTTTAATGTTGATGCATGATGTGACATGGGTTGTGTGTTGCCTTGTGTAGGAAAGGCGCTCTACAAATAAAAGCTGATTGATTGATTGATAAAGTAAATCTGAAACTTATGTACTGTCATGCAAAACTGCTAAAATAATTGATTTGTTTGAGTTAGTTTTTGTGTTCCTTGGTTGTGTTGTTGTTGTCTTTGGTTGTGTTGCTGTTGTCTTTGGTTGTGTTGTTGTTGTCTTTGGTTGTGTTGCTGTTGTCTTGGGATGTGTTGTTGTTGTCGTACCTTGAGGTTTCTGTGGACGATGTGCAGTGAGTGCAGGTAGGCCACAGCCTCCAGCACCTGGCGGACCACGTTGCTGGTGTCCTTCTCAGAGTAGTAGCCCTGGTCCAGGATCCAGTCGAACACCTCTCTGCCTGTGGCTCTGCACGACACACACGCACACACACACACAGACACACACACACCATTTGATGAAGAGGAATATTCTGTTTTAAGTCAATGAATAAAAAGTATGATAGTAAAACAAATAAATATGATTAAATTAGATGCACATGGATTTGGTATTTGATTTAATCATATTTATGTTCACACAAAAATAAATTTAAAAAACAATCATAATAATTTAAAAACTAAAACCAATAGAATCAAAATACATACATTCCTATACAACACAAATACAACATATTTGTAAAAACAAAAAAGTATTTGTTGTTAAATATTGATTTAGAAAAGGTTCCTGTTTCTTTAAGTAATGTAAGTAATGTTTATTTATATACCGCCTTTCACAGACAGAGTCACAAAGCGGTTTACAATTGTTATTTTTTGGGCATTTGTCCTCTCACTCCACACAGAGATGGGAGCGGGGTCACCAAACAGGAGGCGCATGCCAGATCTATTGTACATATTTTTAGTGGTAGGGGAAACCGGAGTACCCGGAGGAAACCTACGCAGACACGGGGAGAACATGCAAAATCCACTCAGAAAGGCTCTGGTCTGACCGGGATTGCTGAGAGGCAAGAGTGCTATCCATTACTTTGACAGGGCCGTAAGCAGATTTAAAAATGCTCAATTATTTAAAACATTGAGAATATTGCAGTGAGACTTTTCTATTAAAAAGTAATCAATCATTAACAGAGACTCTAAAAGGTGATGGTCTGTAGATGAGAGTCTAGTCCTCTCTTGGCAAAGAACATTTATTCATTTTGGGTAACCACAGCAAATTTTTTTATGACATATTTCAAGTCCTGAGAGACTACACTAAACTAAACTTACATCATCATAAAGTGTAAGATTGAGTGAGAGACGGGGGGGAAGTGTCCAAAGCCGAGTGGGATGAGGAGGATTTGGGGTAAGTGTTCCTCTTTGATGTGTCATATACATACACAATAATCCACCTGTGCCAATGAATAGAATCCAACATTTTCAATCCTTTCAATCAGTCACAGCGCTGACGTGTTTTCAACACTTATTGCAGCCATCATCTGAAAGTGAACATAACAAGTGCAGGGCCTCATTCTGAACAGCGTCAGAGCATTGCTTTTGACTCAGCCTTTTATCCGTCCCAGTTGTGTCACCAGCAGCTTCTCACATCTGTGACGTTCGGATAGTTTTTTTCTGCGTATTGCATTTTCCAGATTTTCGATTGTTTACATGGGCTGAAGGCTGGATTAGATTATTCGGAGGGCCTGATTTGGCTCTCGGGCCGCATGTTGAATAGGTCTGCTTTTTACAATATGCTTTTGGAAATACAGCCTGTGAACATTCCATGATTAAAAGTCGACATTACCCTGAACACCTGAGAGTGAGAATAATTATTTCTCTATAGAAAAGGAGTTCTCTAGAAACATGTTTGAGTGTGATTCTCTTCATCACAAAGGAAATCCCAGATTATACAGTACATTCTACAGTATGTGTGGAACGCAGCCATCAGGGAGAACACAGCAGTTATAGCCATCATCATCTGCATTATAAATGAGCAGAGTTCTTGTATCCACAAGGCCTGAGGCCACAACAGCCCAACACACACGCACACACACACACGCACACACACATACACACACACACACATACACAAGTATGTATTTTCAAATACTGCGTAAGAACTAATAAATATGAAATAAAAATTAGTGTCATCTTTTGGCCATTAAAAATTATAATGAGATAGTTTACTTCATTTACATCCTTTTTAGAATGTAAACTAATGTATGGTGGAACAAGTATGAAAGATAAATAACGGCTGTAACTCCCTATACGACCACCAGAGGGGGGGTTGAATTTGTTTTCTTGTTTTTCCAAATCTTAAATTACCAGCTGCAAACACAACCATACCATTGTAAAGAATTTAATTTCACATACCAATTATTTCAATACTAATGTTTTAAAAGGACGTGATACAATGACATCGGACTGAGACAGGACTGAGACAGGACTGAGACAGGAGCTTTGAGACAGAAGGGGTGGAGTTAAAGGTTTGAGCCAGATGCTCCTGATGGATCTAAAAGCAAATAGGTCCGTGACTGATGAGGAACAATGTTGTGACACAGAGAGAATGATAGAGAAATATGCATATGCATTAGATATCCTATAAATCTTGAAACCCAACTTTCAAACTACAAACTTTAACTATTTTCACATGCATGTGCAGTATTTTTGGCCTCTGTCACATCTTTAGATGAGAAAGGACCACTCTCACTCAGCCAATCAGTTCTCAGTGTGTCAAACATAACATGATGTTTTCTAATACGTTAAAGACAGCATGTTGTGGTCTGACTTGTTCACAAGATGTTACTAAAACAAGAATATTTTCTGTTGGGACAAATAATTCAAAAAAGTAGGGTACAGATAAAGCCAATGTTCCCTCGTACTAATATGTGATGAATATTTGGGGCTCTGACCCAATAAGAAAGGTTAACAATTGTGGGAAAATTATCACAAATTATGGTGTTTTTGTTTAATTATTGTACTATCCATCCATCCATCCATCCATTTTCTACCCTTTAATCCATTTCTGGGTCAGGGGGGTGGCAATCAGAGATGCCACCCAAGTCTCATAGCACCAGCCCCTCACTGACCCTCTGCAGGTGGTGAGTCCACAGGAGGACGGCTGCTCTGAGTGTGAGCATAGCCTTGATCTTTCAGTGGGGGCTTTGGGCAAAGTGGGGGCAAATTATTGTACTACTCATATTTAAATTAGTTTCACAGTTGAATTTCAGAAGTGAATGGACTTTTGAGATTCATGTGAACACATAAATAACATATGCATTCAGACATGTGCAGATAAACATGTCTGCAGCGGTACTCACAGCTCCAGGAACAGGAAGTACTCCTTTTTAGTCTCGTAGACGTCCACCAGCTGGAGAATATTGGGATGCTTCACCCTGAGGACATGAGTCACACGCCAAAGACACAACATGTCATGTACCTGGGAAATCTCATGAATAAATCAAGTCCACAAACAAGCAGCAGGCTGTGTGCTCAGGAGTGGTCCACACATCCGTACTGTCAGGGCAGATATGAGAGTATTTGCATATGAAGGGGTCCGGTTCGCATACCGTGATATACGAACCGGACCCTGTGAGGTTCGCCCTGACAGTACTTATTTTCCGATAATGACCTGCGTTCTGGTCAAGTTATATGGTGATATGTTTGTGCAAATTCCCCACTTGAAAGGGATAAACCCTCCACATTTATTGGGCTTGGTTTCAGCTTTAGGTTCAGGTGAAAACCCTCAAAAATAGAATAGAAACATACAGTCATTTTCCTATGCAAATAAACCGTTTTTTAATCGCTACTTTTTAACAAATAATGTCCCTGCCTGTAAACACAAATAGTATAGTAGTAGTTCATTCCAAATAATATTTACACTCAAATGAGGTACTCTATATATTAATCTGGTTTTAAGTACATATCAGTTAACTGTGTTTTTAAGGCCTTGTTTTGCACGAATATAGTTTGCTATATGGAACAGTATTTTTTATAGTTGTATTGTAGTATTAACAACTGCCAATTAACCAAATGAGTTACAAAAGTAAAGTCTATTTTCTTATATATTTTTACAAAAGTGTTTAACCACATACCATGAATTAGACCATAAGTCCACTAATCAATAGATCCGGTTTTAGCACACTTTTAAAGTAATACATTTTAACATTTTATCACTAAGTCATTGATTTTAACATTTTATCACTAAGTCATTGATTTTAACATGATTACAAACTGTGATTGCGAACGCAGTTCGCCAGCACAGTTCTATACATTATCCCGCTTATTGTACGGCTTTGTGCCAACTGAACACACAAAATAAACTTTTATGAATGCAGTTTATTTAATGACTGCAAATAAAAAAGGTCCCAAACTAGCGTGGCTAGGCTAGCTACTTATTAAACTAGACATTCCCTTTGAAGGAACTCTCTCAAACTACATGAAAACTGAGCGGTGAGTGACCCAAATATAAACTCAACATATATTGGTAACAACATGGATCTGTTAATAGAAAGAAATCCCCAGTCAATTTTTCTTAAAAAAGTGGAAGATAAAATACTTGACGGTGTTAAAACATGAAAAAACTAAAAATCTACTGATTATAATGACATTAACATTACTCTTGGGAAAGATGGGATTGAGGGAATAATGAAGTTGTTAACGCACATTTGTAACTTGTTTTTTCACACTGGTATCTTTCCAGATGAAATGAAAATGACCAAGGTTATCCCACTGTACAAAGGCGGGAACAAACATCACTTCAACCTCTGCAGACCTGTCTCCTTACTCACACAATTTTCCAAAATACTAGAAAAACTCTCTTGTAGTAATAGACTGGATACATTCATTACAAAACATAAAATACTTTCTGACAGCCAGTTTGGGTTTAGGGCTCAGCACCAGCAAGAACTAAAGCTATGGAAGATATTACAAATGCTCTTGACAAAAACAATGCTGTTATTGATAAAATAAAATAATAATAATAAATAAAATATTTATTGATAAAAAAAGCTTTTGATATAATCAACCATGGTTTATTAAAAATAACTAGAAAGATATGTTATCAGAGGCATTGTGTTGAACTGGATCACACTCACAAGTTCTTTAAAGAGTTTGTGAAGATGATGTTTGCTCCGCATGTTTGGACATTGTCTGTGGTGTCCCCCAGGGGTCAGTGGTAGGCCCTGAATTGTTTATTTTCTATCAGTGATGTTTTTGTTGTCTCACAGAAACTGAAGCTGGTGTTGTTTGCTGATGACACAAGTATTATTTTGTTCTGGGTATAATTTGAAAGAGCTTACTAATGAAATGAGCAAAATTAAATTATGGTTTGACAAGAATAAATGATCACTAAATCTAAACAATTTTTTTTATTTATTCAGGTACAACGATCTGAATTCATGTTTGATGCAAAAAGCAAGGGTTCATGGGGTTATAATAGATGATCAAATCACCGGGAAACCACAAATCAAATATATACGGCTAAACTGTCAAGAAGTATCTCTTGGTTTGCTCACTCTCTTTGGCAGTTGCAATTATCGGAATCTGTAGTATGTGGAAGATTTTCACATTGTGCACAACCATTTTTACTCAAAGAGAAAATAACATTATGGCGTCTCTGCATAGGTCCACACACGTTTCACCGATGCTCCACCAAAGGGATCATTTCTTCTATAACATAATTCTATCTCAGGGGTCATAGACGATCATATCACAGAGAAAAGAATCTGGTTATGTCCCCTTTAAACAATCGTGTGTTTGACGTGTAGCTAGCACAACTCCTTTTGTTCCGCTCTACTGCACCGCTTCAGCCAGAAAAGACAAGTTGTTATTAGCTTGGCCTGTAAGCTGTAATAAACCTGACTTGAATCGGTGGAAAGTCATTCTAAACATAATAGTTGGTGATGCACAGCGTTAATTATTCTCTTCTTGAAAATGGTGACGACGAATAGAAAAGCTCCTAAAATTAGGGACATTGTTTGTGTCTTTTGTGCTTGTTACGCGAACGAACCCATAGGAAAAGGACCATATCGGAGGAGATTGACAGATTTTAGCCACTTATATCACACACAACACAACCCTTGGATTTCACAGACTGTCACAAACCCAGAAGATTTGGACCAGATTCAGGGGTTCTTTCACATTGAGACTTACAGGCTGGGCATTTAACCTGCCTGTTTCTGTCTTTGAGTGTCATGAAAAGTGCTATATCGGTAGAATGCATTACTATTATAAAACACAGCCGTAATTTCGACAGCATGAATTTTTTTAGGCTGTTGCTTTACATGTAGGGCAGGTGAAGACGGTTATAAAACTGCACACAAGTCACACCAGGGAAAATACTTTGCATAATGACAACGTAACAAGCCATGGAGCCATGTTTGGGGGAGTGAAGCCATTAATCACACAGATCTTTCCTTTATAAACTTGTCCTTAAAATGATGTTGTAAAGTGTCCATAATAATGTGCTTCCCTGTGATCCTGGATAATGGTAAGAAGAGTTAGTTTAATAGCAAGACTGTTGCTGGGTCCTTTGGCAATACACTTCACCCACATTGCCTAGATTGAGTCCGTCAGTGTGTCCCAGGGCGGCTGTGGGTTGAGTGTACATCCATCCATCCAATGCTCTACCAACTGAGCCACTGTCACCCCCTATTTAAAAACCAGTGCATTATTATTTTGATTATTATTTGTTTTGACCCTTTTATTTTGACATGTTCCCGTCTTCCCCGCTGTGAAAAGCTGACAAGGGTCCAAACAACATACTGCGCTTTCACACTAGTGCGCCATGTCCTAAAACACAGGGCTGCATAGTGAAAGTACCTCCTGTCTGTCTCTGTTTTATAAATTCTTGCTGTTCCCATGGTCTGGGACTGAAACAAAGGCATGTTTCTCAAATACTTGTGAGTGTATTTCTCACTTGCTCATTTCCTACTAATGCTTCGGATAACACTGGTGGAAGGTGTGAAATCCGTCTCTCAACTCTCTGAAAAAATGGATTGTGTGAATGTTGTTTCTCTCATTGTGTAATAATGTTATTCAGGGAATTGTTTGTGTACTTACATTTTGAGGATCTGAATCTCATTCTTTGCAGCTTTGCGAACCTTCCGTCCATCCCTCTTGAGGAACTTCTTACAGGTATACATTTTATTGGTGGTTTTGTCTTTGGCTCTGAATATCTCACAGAACTCCTCCCTGAAAGAAAACACAACCAACGCACAACAGAATGAATATGCTTCATCCTGATGGGGCGATAGACCAGCTTCCTGCTGTGTAGAAGAAGAAGAGAGCTGCGAGGACAATGAGTATGTTCACAAAGCATAACAATATGAGTAACAACTTAATTTGGTTGGAAAATCAAACAGATCGGAAAAGTCTCGTCAGAGCGACCTGTGGAGAAGCCGCTCAAAGCTCCAGACCTGAAGGCGTCTCCTAACTTTCCCTTACTGCTCAAACTTTGTAACTTTAACTGTAAATAACTTTTCTATCTTATATACAATCTAATTGAAAAACATAATGAATTGCAATTATTCAGTGTCAGACCTGTAATTAATTCAATTCAAAAATCATAATCGAGTCACCACTAATACTGTAACTATATTGACAAGACACAAGATAATGTTGAATTTTCACTTGGGTCTCACATAGGCGAGTAGCTTCAGTGACAGACTTATTCACCCTCGCTGTGTGAAGGAGAGTTTCCACAGGTTTTTCCTTCATGCTGCTGTCAGACTGTACAACGAGAACTGCTGAGCCTGTACGTGTCATTCATCTGCAAATAGTAAATGCTATAATCATGTCCAATATGCAATACTGCAACTTCAGAATGTCACTTTATCTACTTATTATCCTGTCCAGTACATACATAACTTTGTACTATATATTTAGAGTTTTGATGTTGAAGCATTTATAGCTAGCTCTTACTACTGTCCTGTATGTGTGCTGCAACAGTGACATTTCTCCACCGTGGGACGAATAAAGGTTCACTTATCTTATCTTATGATCTAATTATAGCCAAAAACATGCATAAACGTTCATTCATGAGAAGCAATACAAATATAATTTATTTTGCAATGTTTTGAAGCTACATGAGCCATATATCATGGTAAAACATTGCATAGCTTGTTGTGGGGGAAAAAAAGTCCATCCCCTAGTGACCAGATGAGGAGAAGTGAATATGACACTTACGACTTGACGATCTGTCCCATGTCATACTTGTCGCTCACATCTGTGGGACTGTGGTAGTCCTTCTTTTCCCCCACTGGGAGACAGCCAAAGGGCATGGCTGTGTCTGACCTGCACACACACATGGAGAGAGGACACGTTGTAATCTGGACTCACACAGAGACAATATATTAGAACAGTGACTTCCTGAAGTTGTTTATGAGAAAAGAATGAGTGAGAGTCTCAGGAGAGGCAGAAAGTGAAGCACACAGTTACACACTGAACTGGCGGATTTTTGTTTAATTTCCAAGTTATTTGAGTAAACTCATTTTTAAGGATTTTGAGCATGGGACAGCATTATGTACAGTACGTATTATTGAACAATAACATATTTGAAATAGTCCCTCCTCTTGGCCTAGCTTTGACGAGTAAGTAAGTAAGTAAGTAAGCTTTATTTATATACCGCCTTTCACAGACCAGAGTCACAAAGCGGTTTACAATTGTTATTTTTTGGGCACTTGTCCACTCACTCCACACAGAGACAGGAGTGGGGTCGCCGAACAGGAGGTGCATGCCAGACCTATTGTACATATTTTTAGTGGTAGGGGAAACCGGAGTACCCGGAGGAAACCTACGCAGACACAGGGAGAACATGCAAACTCCACTCAGAAAGGCCCTGGTCCGGCTGGGATTCGAACCCAGGACCTTCTTGCTGAGAGGCGAGAGTGCTATCCACTCAGCCACCGTGCCACCCAATTAATACAATTAAGAGTGAAACTTACTGAAGAAGAACAGTTAAACCAACAACAAATTAATTCATTTTGACCAATCGGGAAGCTGCGTGAGTCTAACCGAGCGACTAAACACCTGTGCCCAGCCTCTCTCCGTTCTCATGAACATTTGAAAATGTTCTCTGATAAATGACAAAAGTAAAGAAGCAACAATATTTCAGTGATCACGGTTTAAATTACATACAGAAAAAGGAGTTTTTGTTTTCGGCGTGAACAGAGTTCACCGGAGAATGCAGAGTTTTATCTAAAGTTGAGCTATGAGAGCTTTCGTGAGTTATTTACATTTTTTGCCGAGTTTTATCTACAGTTGAGCTATGAGAGGGTTGTATCCAACAGTTGTTTTTTGTTTTTTAGAAAGAGATTTTGAGTTTAAATTAGTTTGCTACCTCAATAAAATAGAAGCGTAAACGTTAAAGAAAAGAGTGCCTTTTGTTACTAGTGTGGAAAGTGATCACTTGTAGACTTGGATGACAAAAGTATAAAGAACAACATAAGTTATATTTGCTTAACAAAGTAATCTTGAAAGTTATTCTTCTGTATCTTTCTGCCTGTGTGTGCACATCTCTATCTGCTGCCGTTGTCAGGGAAACGGCCCCCTCCTTCGCTGCTCTGGCTGTGAATCTGAAGCAAAGCTACTGCTTTAGGATTTTTGGCTTTTCATAGTAGTTATTCCGTTAAATTTGCTAAATTTGCCATTTGAACATTGTGTTAGACACAGTTAAACGTTTTTAAACACCATTAGTGAATAAGTTTTGAATATTAGTATGTTTTTGAAACCCAAAGATTAGTACAAAAAGCTTTGCTTTTCTTTTAAATCTGCTGCTTATTTTGTGAGTCCATTATTGTATCTCTGATATATTTCATAGCTGTTTGTGAGAATTTTTTCATGTATTTTTTATTTTAGTTACAAAAGCCGTTTTTCAAACATTTAAATTAGAATCTGTGTTAAAAGTGATTATTGATTATAGACTTCGTCTAAAAAGAAAGAGGGAATTAGCATTAGCTGTAAAAGTATTATTAAGTTAAACTACCCAATTCACCTTGCAAGTGGTGACTTTTGTTTTTGTTTTGACTATGCACCTGACCTTACTGTTGCAGATGCCACAGCAGAGGAGACTGGTCTAAAATGTGCTCCAATTCATACTGACTTCATTTGAAAAATGCTGCAATTATTTTAAATTAGTAAAATATATGCTGAGATAAATGCATAGATAATTAATCACACAGTGCAAAAGTACATAATACATATTTTAAAGTTTAAGAAGGTTTAAGAGATTTGAGTCTTGTTTTTTATATTGAGAGTTTCTGGTTTTAAAATGTTATCATTAGTAAGATAATAAGTAATCTTTTATTTACATAGCGCTTGGGAAAACCCAGAGCGCTTCAAAATTGTTTTGACTTTAGGGAGAAAAACAATCTCATTCACAATCTCTGTTGTTTTTAATTTGACTATAAGGTTGTTTTCCAGAACCAAGAGCACACACTGTACAGGGTCACTGGACTGCTGGACACTGGACAGCGCAAAGCCCACCCAGCCACAGGTCACAGAGCTAAGAGCAAAGGAAAATGCCACCTCCTTGCCCCTCCCCACGCCACTGCAGAACTGAGTGGGTGTGAGAGAGACCGGGGCCATGAAAGAGAGGTATCTGGAGACGTGATGGGTGGAGCGTCAGGTAGAGACCTAGAGGGAGTTGAAAGTGTGTCCAGTTGGTTTGCATCACCACAGTGTGACCTTTGAGACCTACAGGTGGTTCGAGGAGTCTGGAGACTACCCCAAAATTCACATACACACACACACACACATACATTCATACACTCACACATTCACATTTACATATAGATACATGAAAAAGCAGAACATGAGAAAAAAGCATTTTAAAAGTTTACTCCAATGTAAACACATTTTTAATTGTCTATCACTTGAATCTTTATTTGAATCAGTATTTTTTGAGGCCAGAAATGTTCATTTGAATTCTATATTGTCATGGACTTAATTGACCTCTGTCCTGACACTTTTGATTTGTTGATTTTGTACTGTGTGAAGTAATTACATTGATGAGAATTAGATCTGATAAAAACACAAATTAGAGAAGTAAACTGCGCTTGCTTTTGTCTAAGGGACATTAGCAACAGCATGAATAGAAATTGTCTTTAAAGTAGAATCAAAGTGACTTAACCATAGAGAGTAACTATTGCATAACAAGCTGTGTACAGGAACTGAGACACTGCACCATTGACCAGAAGTGCATCGCAAATGACCTGATGTGCTTCAAGTGAAAAGACTGTATCTGGAGATCCTGATTTGCATCTGGAGAAACCAAACCATGGCTTGGACCCTACTGATGACATCTCTCTATGACCTGACCTGATGACGACTGAGACTCACCCTCAGGGGACCCTGAGGACCTGAGGACCCTGAGGACCTGAGGACCTGAGAGAGAAAAACTGGGGAGTGATGTTTATATTTTTGAAATCATACATTGATGAGTGCTAAATGAGAGAGATACTCATGATTCTTTCTTTTGTTTGTGTTTGTCCCTAGCTTCTGGACATCTGATGATCTATTGGACACAGACATTTGCAGAACAAGAACCAGCCAATGAAAACGTCTATTGCCGATGCTATTGCTACAGTAGGTCCCATTCCGTTTTGTCGTCTTCATTCACGCTTCTCGGGAATCACGCAGCTGCGTGAAAAATAGTACATCTTATCGCCACAAGGTGGCAGGCTAAGTCCGCTTTAGCTCTGCCAGCGACTTAGACGCTCAGGTATAACACTGCGTGCAAACCTGTCTAACCCAGAGGTGCTATGTTGGCCAAATGGATAACATTAGAGACTCGGACCTGGAGAACCCAGGTCCGATTCTTGTCTGAAGCACATCTTTTGGTTGCTTGTGGCAAAATTGTTTTTTCATTAAACAATTATTATATAACATCTTGTCTTTAATGTCTGAAAAAATCGAGGTGAAAGGTTGAGGTTTCTATCGAGGTTTCTATTGAATGCTATTTCTTTCTTTATAATCTTTATCTTTATAATACGAATTGCATTAACGTATATATTTAAAATAATTATGTATTGTCTATAGAATTCTATTCTAAAAAAAGGTCTTGTTATGACTCTCAAATCATTAATGACAAAACAAAGACTAAAACGAGGATTTATATAGGGATGGCTTTGAACAATTGAGTCAGTGTCTATGATCGTGTGAACCCCTGGTCTAGTGGTCTAAGCTGTGTGCTTATGATGCAGGAACCTGGGTTCGATCCCGCGCTATATATTTTTGTATTTATTGCATGTTATCACATTCTATGACAGATTGCTCTAAAAACGGTAAAAGATGAAGGTCAAGACGTTTTTTTTGCAGATTATAGCTTAAATGTAAAAATAATCATTTAAGACCACATGTACCCCAATTAAAATAATGTTAGTCTCTTTTTGATGTGGAACTTTTACATGTTTGTCTAAAAAATAGGGAATAAATAAAATTGAAAGGTGATATCCTCTTGAGCAAACCCTGATGTTGATACGCTGAAGAAATACGTTCCAACATCCATTCTTCCCACTCCTATTTTGGACATCAATTGCTTATTTATTTTGCATAAACTATGTATAATTACATTGCTTTTATTTTGTTTTTGTTTTTTATCTCAAATGTCCAAATAATAATAATAAAAAAACATTAATCAAAACATTCATTCAGCATTAGCACGGCTGTCATGGCAATGTGAATGGAGACGGACAAACAACTGATAAAATAATTCCCTGTGTTTGCTGCTGGATTTGGTGTGAATCTGGCAACCAGTCAGGGAGAGTGGGAGAGGACTACAAAATATTGACTATGACTGCAGTACCACTTTTGGCCAGATTTTTACATATTGTTCCTTTAAGTCATATTTTTTTTGAGAAAAGTGAAAAGTGTGATTTTTGTCTCTTTTCGGCCCTGTATATTACTGTGAAACTTCTGGGATTCGGCTGTTGACGGTAGTTTGTTGTCCCCTCCTCCCTCCTCCACAGGAGGCTTTAACATGTAAATGACAATGCTGTGAGCTATACAAATGCTAATCAACAAGTTCTAGTGTTAAGATGTGCGAGGCGAGCCTGGCCTGACTGCGCTCTCCTCCTCCTAAAAAAAGATTAGAACGCAACAGTTTAGTTAATAATGTGTGTATAAAAATAAAAAATATTGAAATTATGACTTTAAACAAAAAGTAGTCTTCTGTTCTCTAGATGTTACAGACAAGGCCCGCATCCTCCACCACCTGAAGAAGATGACAAAGTCTGGGATCGCGTCTTAAATTCAGACAGAAGACATGTTTTATTGTCGATGG